ATATATTGAATAAAGACAAATTTATCTTTCTCCCATTGCTGCCAAGTGACAAATTTACAATTCGTTGAACTTGATTTATAGAACTGAAGCTTCTAAAGTTTTTTGTAGTCAATAAAATCCTCTATATTTGCCATCTGCAGGCAGGATAATCTAGTTTTTAACAGGGGATTAATGTAGCATTTGATTTTTCTTTTTGTTTCTTTAAAAATGTCATGACAAGAATTACATAACTTGATGGCATTTACAGCTACTGTACTCCAGTCCCTCAAACAACAATGGAAAAATCTACCCCCAAGTTGGAATTATTCTAATGATCCCTGTGGAACACCCTGGGAAGGAGTCACCTGCAGCAACTCAAGGGTGAAAGCACTGTATGTAAATCCATCTTTTCAACTTATCTTCACCATTTCATGCCAAATTTCTTTTGTCCTGTTGAACAAATGCTGTTAGATTTGGATGCATATTGATAATAATTGTAGAGATGTTTGAAATTGCAGGGCACTGTCAAGCATGAGACTATCTGGAAAACTTAGTGATGACATTGGAGGACTCACAGAGTTGGCATCCTTGTGAGTTTCTTCTTACTCTTTCTCACCACAAAATCAAGATTTCTCATGCAAGCTCTGCACATTATCCAAATTAAGATCAAGTCTAATCTCAACAGTCCAGAACCCTTGAGCATTAGATATTAGCTTTGATTCTTGGGAAATTACAGTAGTTTTTGACCAAATGACCTGAGTATCTTCAAGCGCAGAGCCTTCAATTCTGTGCTCAATTACTGTGTATAACTATATTCATTTAGCTTAAGATGTCAAATATCTTTACAGGGATCTCTCGTTTAACCCGGACCTCACAGGTTCCGTCTCTTCACGGCTGGGGGATTTGCGAAAGCTAAACGTGTTGTAAGATCATTTAAGATTGTCTCCCTATGTTTGATTTCAGCATCTCCAGCATAAAGATGAAATCCTTATCAGATGAAATACTCGAGGCAGAGTGCTTTCTGTTAATTCTCTTTTGTGTTCCTCAGAATTCTCGCTGGATGCGGCCTCAGTGGCACAATACCAAGTGAACTTGGGAATCTTTCTCAGCTTTCATTTCTGTAAGAACTCAACAAACTACAGCTCAATTTATTTTCTCTGCATGAATTGCATTTGCATCAACCTCTGCTATTCGCATTGAACAGAGCACTTAACTCAAATAACTTCACTGGTGAGATACCGGCTTCCCTGGGAAATCTCACGAATCTATACTGGCTTGACCTGTCTAATAATCGATTGAGCGGATCTATCCCTGTTTCAACATCAACAGGTCCAGGACTTGACCTACTTAAGAAAGCAAAACACTTGTGAGTATAATTTTGACTCCAAAACCACTCTTTTAGTCTTCTTCCCCTTGTATAACGTGTCCAATTATATGTATGTTTACAGCCATTTTAGCAAAAACCAGCTCTTAGGCGAAATTCCTGCATCTCTATTCAGCTCTGGCATGGTCCTATCACACTTGTAAGTTATGATGCTATCTTGAAACAAGTATATAGTAACGTCGACTTGACGATGCAACATGACAGTTTGCAATTTTGGGTGATAGACTACTTGATGGAAATCTACTCACCGGAGAAATTCCACCTACTTTAGGAAATGTTCAGACACTTGAGATTCTGTAAGTACTGTCCAAGCATCAACCTTCCTCTGCCCTGCTGATTGTCTTCATCTTTTTCAATGTTGCCACTCCTGAATTTTGGCCTTCCTGTTCTTAATTTGTTTAGACGGCTGGATAATAATGCACTTGGTGGTGGAGTTGTCAACCTCCAAAACCTCACAAATCTCATTGAACTGTGAGTATTAGAGACAGCTGAATTGATTATTTGATACTGAAGCATCATTTAGTTGACTGTCCTCCCTTGCAAAACACTCTGACCTTGCAGAAATTTAGCAAGTAACAACTTCTCTGGTCCTTTACCTGACTTAATTGGGATGAATTACCTCAATTATGTGTAAGGATCTAAAACTTAAATTTCCTTAGAGATCTCTATATGTGAATCTCAAGGATGAACATGGTCACCAACATTGATTCTCTTCGTAGGAACCTGAGCAACAACTCTTTTCAACCGTCACAAGCTCCAGCATGGTTCTCAACCTTAAAGCCACTAACCACTTTGTGAGTATTAATCACTATGGAATCAATAATTCAATACTAAGCAACTCCTTCCAGACATGTGCCTTTTTCTTATTAAAATTTCTGGAATGGTGATCAGGGCTTTGGAAAATGGTCCACTCCAGGGACAAGTACCCCAGCAACTTTTTAGTTTACCTCAGATCCAAATAGTGTAAGTTAAAAAATAAGCAATCTCGAAGAAAGAAAGCATTTGGCTGCTACCTGGAAAAGTGAAAGAACTTATTTTGATAGCATTAACTTTTAACAGGATCCTGAGGAAGAACGCATTCAATGATACATTGGATATGGGTAACAACATTAGCCAACAACTGCAACTTGTTGATTTGCAGAATAATGATATATCTTCAGTAACACTCAGTTCCGGATACAGCAAGACATTACTGTGAGTGATACAATTCAAAAAACTTCCACTGATATACATAAAATACCACACGTTGCCAATTCTCTTTCCTGACCAAACTGCTGAATATTTTCTCTTTACTCCAGCTTGATGGGGAATCCAGTATGCGCAAGTTCAATCGCAAGCACATCTTACTGTCAGCCACAGAAACGATCTGCAACAAATTGTTCAACCAGCCTTGCTAACTGCAGAAACATAACATGCCCTTCGGATAAAAAACTCAGCCCACAAACCTGTGCATGTGCTTATCCATACGAAGGGACTATCATTTTTAGAGCACCAAGTTTCATGGACACCGCGAACTGTAGTAGGTTCCATGACCTGCAAATCAGCCTTGAGATGAAGTTTGGACTTGCACCTGGTGCAGTTGTTCTGCTGAATCCCCACTTCAATATTGATGACTATCTTCAGGTGGGATTGGGACTCTTCCCAACTACGAGGAACTTTTTCAATAGCTCAGAGATTCAGAGAATGGGGTTTGAGCTTAGTAGCGAGACTTTCAAGCCTCCAGCAGAGTTTGGACCTTATTTTTTCATTGCTGTTCCTTACAAGTTCCCAGGTCAATAAACACAATCAAAATGTTATAGCAAAGATTGTCTAGATTCCATGCGAATCAATAAGCTGTTAAGAATTATCCTAATCAATCTATTATTGTACTAGTTTCTACTTCCGGCAGCGCTAATCTAGTACTTAATTTCGATCAGAAAAATGTCTCCACATATTGGCATTTAAACTAAACTACAATTTGCTGGTTGCTAGGAAAGAAAATATCCCACGTATACCACTTTGGGGTGGTTTCCAGTGTAGTTTCCGTTGAAGAAATTTTCAAAGGTCGCACGTAGTAGTTTTCTACAATTTTGCTTGCACCCTTGCGAGTTTCAAATGATTCAACCGCCATTTGAAGGGATGCATCTCCAGGCAAGTTTCTACCATTCAATAACCATCAAAGGGATATGAAATTATATATTTGGATCAGTTTGTGGTCTTTTGACCGCAAACAAAAAGACCTACAAACTTTAGAAAACTTTTTGCTCTTCTCTTCTTTGTTCTTTGAGGGTTATAACAACTTAGTGCAGAGTTTTGCAACCATTTGCTTGCAACCAAAAGGATATTCATTCTTGATTTTTTACACAATATAGTAGACGAATAAAGTTTTAAGAAAAATGATTTCTTGTTGGTTTTGCAGTCATTTCATAGTATTCTCTTTGTTTCTATTCCAACAATTTCCAATAAATTGAGACCTTTTGTCATAGAACATGGTCTGTGTGGATTATATCATATATATTGTCGCCCCATATGCGAGGTCTACATGAAATCCACTTTTTCGGATCCAATTTATATCATAGAAATTATTCAAAAATGGTTTTCCTCTCAAATTCTTGATATATAAATGTATGGCCAAAATTTTACATCATAATAATTAAGTTACCTCTTAAATTTATTAGGACTAATTACACTTTGCATCCACCAACTTAGAACTGACTCTTACATTGCACCATCAACTTCGTTTTCGACAAATTGTCACCTAAACTTTCATATTTGTCACATTTTTGTCAAATTATTAATGGTGCTAATAAAAATTAACTTTTTTTTTTGTATATTTAGCATGCTTCTTCGCCTTTAAATTTAAAAAGTTAGATTTTTGCATTAAATCACTGAGCCTAAATATCCTAGGCATTGTACTTTTAACTAATGAACTATGCTTTTCATAATTAACCTTTTTTTAATATAATTAACCTGGTTTAAACACTTGAACTATGATATATTGTATCCAAGCATTTGCAATAAGTTAAGTAGGTTTACCTGATGGCAAATAATTATTCATGACCAAATTTATTCCCTTTTACTTTCAATAACACCTAATTTAAAACTATCCCCTATTCCTTATATATACATTTGTATCTATTCTTTTGTTATTTAATTTATAATTATGTGTGTGTGTGTGTGTGTATATATATTAAAAATTACAAAAATGATATTATAATTCTAACAATAGCAAGGTGGGTCAAATGCTAAAGTATAAATTTGTAAGAATACATTATAACCAAACTACGAGAATAATGTATCCAAAAATTGGAGGTTTAGGATGAGCAATTAATTTCTAAGAGGAGCAAAGTTAAAATTGAGCAACCAGCTAACTGTCCATATACCTATCAATCTTTGCTCAATCAACCAAAAGATAGAAAGAATTTAAAAACCTAAGGTGCAAAATCGAATCATCAAAATGGACTCGATATAAGAATTTGTATACAAAATCGAAACATAAAATCATAAAGTGAGCAAATAGTCGTTTAACATAAAATCATATGATCAGTAATTAAATAATCAGCTATTTCCAGCAGGAGTTGCAATTTGCAACAATGACCAATTATGGCCTACACCGAAACATAATACACTGATAGTTAATACAAATACAGAGCAGTGATTAAACACAAGCTAGGGTCTCAAAATGCTTGAATGCATGTTTCCAACTGTAAAGAGACATGTAATACCCTAAAAATTGAAGATTTGCAGGCTCAATTTCAACAAGCTCTTCAATACTTCCACCATTGATCTCATAAAAAATGATTTTACCTCGTAAAGAGATCATCATCTTTGCCTTGTTTTCCTTCCTGTCCACAAGAAAACATGGTATCTTAAATACAAATTGGTTCCCATTATGAGCAGGAAACCTCTTATTCACCATTAATGGATACCTTGCTGTCAAAAATCCAATATCAACTTGATGCTTCAATAACCATCTTGAATGGTATCTCCCTAACCCCAACTCCAATTCGAGCTCCCTTATATGAATAAAACTTTCTTGAGGCTCAAACTGATCTATTAGATGCAAGTTCCCTCCTGATTCACCGAAGTACAAAATTACCAGAGTGTGAGGTGGTGGGCTTGATGATTGGTCAGTTGTTGCCATTTTCATTTTTCTAACACAATCATGCTCCAAATCAAAACATAGTAAAGATCTGTTTGAGGTCTTCCAATAAAGATTACCATTCCAATAGACCCCTTGATTGAAATGGTAATAATGTATTCCCTCAGTATCGACATCCATACATTCCTTCCAGACTCCAGCTTCTGATGAATATACCAAGAAATAATATTCTTTCCCTTCCCTTACATGGAGTACTGCTTTTGACAGCACACATACTAGTCTATACTCATCAGACTTAAGCGGATCAAACACAATATTCACAGCTGTAATAGTTCGCGATTCTGCACCAATTTGTGGCTGTGGAATTAGCCTGTAGTGATTAGTTGTCGGATTATAGATGTAGTATCTCCGTATCTCATTATTCAAATAAAAATCAATGAAGGTTAGCCCATTACAAGAATCAAAAGCTAAAATTTCACCCTCCATGTCAAGAAAATTAACGATGCGCGAAGTTATCATACCCATCGCAGGTGAGCTGTCATGGCATATAGGGATAGCATGCAGCTCAGAGTTCTCGTATTTTCTTCGATACAAGAAGAGACCGGCTTCTGCAGCAGTAGATGAAATGGTGCGGTTCTTCTGCAAGTGAAGGCGACAGAAAAGGGGACTCGAAACCAGTGCACGCCACTGTTTTGAAACGCAGTGAAAGCGAATAAGCGATTTCGGTGGAAGAAAAAGTAAAATCTGAATTAAGAGGTCTTCATTGTTGCTGATGACAATAGCCGAGAAGGGGGATGATGATGAGAAAGAGGAACCGCATGGAGCAGCCTGAGCATCCTCATGAGCCAGGAGGTTCTCGTGTTCCGATTTTGTTGATGATGAGATAAGGGTTCTGAAAGTGAGGAGCTCTGCGAGTGATCGGACTGAAGTTATGTTCGGATGTCTAATGATGTCTTTGTTCTTAGCATTGAGGGCAGCTTTTGAAGCTGATGAAGAACAACGGGGATCGGACTTGTCACTGGAGACAGAGACATTCATCGCGAGTCCAGTCAGGGGCGGATTTACACTGGGGGCACGCCTCCACTGAACCCCTTAAATTTCTGTAATATATATAAAAATTTGATATAATTTTGAGTGTGCCCCGGAGTTTTGTGTGTTCATTGATTTATATGCTCCTAAAGTTGCCTTTAATTTTACCTGTTGCTATAACTACCGTAGAAAAGGTTTTTTTCAGTTGTGAATATAGTGAAAAATTGGTTACAAAATAGAATGGAAGACACTTGGATAAATGATTGTTTAATTACTTTTATTGAGAAAAATATATTTAGTGAAATTCAAAATGAAAAAGTTGTAAACCGTTATCAAAATATGAAAACTCATCATGAGCAATTGTAAATGGTTTAGTTTGCTTTTTGAAATAAAATTATTATTACATTAATAATTTTGAGTTTGTCTTTTTATGTTTTTCATGGAATATATGCATAATTTGTACTTATTGGTGAATATATATTTTTTTCTTAAAAAACTAGAAAAAGAGTAGGCAAAAAATTTTAGAGTTATTTTTGCCCCCACTGAAAATTTTTTCTGGCTCCGCCACTGAGTCCAGTTGATACTCTGCAGTTTTGATGTAGGAGAAAAGATTATACGTATTAATTGCTTATTCGTCTGTGGTGCCAATTTCTCTATTATCGTCATATATATGTATAAAAACTAGAGAATTTTTCGTACGAAGTATCATATGAGGGCAAGAAGACTTGTTTTTACAACTCTTTGAGTTCTAATATAACTACTAGCAGTGTTTTGAAATTATGAAAATTGAATCGAATCAAATCGAATCGATTGATTTGGTCAAATTGCAAATTAGTCATGGTACCGATTCGGTTCATTAATAAGTCCAAATAATTTAATTTAATCAGCTAAATTAGGTAAAAAAAAAACTGAGCTTTTTTAATTTTAAAGTCATCCAATTTACATAATAAATTAAAGAATTAAAAAAAAAGAACGTTGGACCAAATTGAATCAGTTGAATCGAGTTGAATTGCAAATCCAAAGTTCATCCGATTTACTTAATAGTTCGGATTTGAAAACATTGATTACTAGACACATCATGGGCAACAAAATGGAATGATGTCTAAGGTGGCATAGAACTATTTTGATCGTCCTAATCAAATTTGCTTATTCAAAGCCGTGGGGTGACGATACTGCCAAAGTAAGAATATGCCAATTCCCATTACATCAACACAACTCAAATCCCCCGATATAGTGTAGGCTCTGTCTTTTGCTTTATTTTTTTTTTCTTGTCATCTTCAATGAAGTCGATTAATCTTTGGAAGTTTCTATTTGGCCCGGTCATATTAGTTCTTTTAGTACACCACCAAAACCGATGTATTAGCGTCCAATTATGTTTTTAATAATCTTAGGATTTATCCTGTAAACTTCTCCAAAACGTTAGGGGTAATGGAACCGACCAATAATTAGGGGCACTAGCTTGATTTGCTTTAAAAGAATGTATTTTAGAATCTCTAGCTAGAGGTGTAAACAAACTTGTGCTAATCAAGCGAATATTCTAATATTCAAGCAGGTTTGATTATTTTAATAATTTTAAAATTGTGTTCGACTTTAGCATGCTACTTAATGAGTTGAACTCCAAAGAGTTTTTTTAAGTGGAGTTCGAGTCGAGTTTAAGTTGTTTAAAGTTTTATATAATGGGGGAGGAGAAATAGGTTGGGTGATATGAGAGAAGGGAATATAAGTGAGAGATTTTGGATTCGAAACCTTCCACTTGTACTAAAAAGAAAAAAAATATTGTAAAAATTTTTTATATAATGATTTCAATATTATACAAGTCAAGCCAAGATCGAATTGAGTTCAAAAGTTTACCGAATATACAATCCTGTTTCGAACAGGCTCTTATCAAGTTGAATTGTATTTGAGTATCAAATAGTTTAGATGGAATTGAGTTTGAAAGTTTATAGAATACAAAATTCTGTTATGAACAAGGTCTTATCGAGCCGAATTGTATTTGAGTATCAAGTAGTTTAGTTCCTATTTCAACTCTATGATTTGTTGCCACCTAAGCAAACGCATTAGATTAAGGTTCTAATGGTAATTTGGCATAATTATTACGAGTACTATTCCTTGCTATCATATTTTAAATAATCTTAATTTTGATGTATAGTTATTCACGTGTATTTTACAATTACATTCATCCACAAAATAATTTTTCAATCCAATATAAAAAAATTTAATCCACTAAAAATTCTTTTCTTTTAAGCCAATAGAAACAAATTTTTAACCCAATTAAAAAAACAAACTTTGCCACCACCACTGGCTCGGTCACTAACTAAATACTTCTGTTTCACATTGGGTGAAAAAGATTAAATACAAAATTTAACGGGCCATTCAGGTAAGAAAATCCATCACAGGAGCATTGAATTAAAAATTCACATCCATAAAATCTTGAAAAATGAATTTTTGTGCCAATGAAGGAACGAATTGTTCCTGCCTCAACTTTGTTATGGAAGCCTGCCTACGTTGCTACGTCACTTTCAAATTGACTAACCATTCTTGGACTTTGTGGGAATAATATAAATTGCAGCCCCGCCGGCTAATTTATCTGGCCAGCCACATCTCCTGACTGCTTGATCAAGCATTTTTCTGAACTAATTTCTGATCGCTGGCCAGTCACTAGTACTTATTGCTAACCAAAAGCTGCCGGCAATGTTTTCCGGCGAGCACCAGAATCGGATTCTTGCAGAGCAGAGTTGGTTTGTGGCATCAAAATCACCATCCAAATTTCTCCACCTGCATTACCTCTCATCCATCTCCATCCCATCCGATCAAACTCACCAAACTCCTTCCCCGTCGTGGCAGTAACTTTTCATGCCACTTCATCACCACCACCACCGCCACCGCCACCATCTTCATTAGTGTTCTCCATCATCAACAATGACGAAGATCTCTTAACAGAAAATTTTATTAGGTTACCTCCAAAATCCTTCATTTGCTTCCAATGCGTCTCCAAGCAATGGCTCTCTATCATCTCGAGCCCTCATTTTTTAACACTCCACTCGCTGCGGAATCCTACCTCCTCAGGGTCCACATTGGCCTTCTTCTTAGATCCATTGATCAACTGGAGCCCCTACCTCAGCTTTATCTGCCTTGATGACCAAGACCTTCCTGGCTCCCGCCATGAATAATATCACTTCAAATGTTCGAGATTTTCAATTAGGTGCTTGTAATTTTTGGAATATGCATTCTTGCCATGGGATATTATGTAAGGGAATTTTACGTGTATAATCCAACTATCATCAATCTAGGCTTATTGTCAAACCCTACTGTACTTGAAAGGACTTGCAAACTTAGAGAAGTGAACATTACTTTGATCCAAAAAAATCGGACGATTACAAGGTTGTGTCGTAGGGGTGGATTTATTATGAGAAAATTGCTGTTGATTTTCTGTATATTTATCTAAAATTGTTTTGGGATTATTTCTTTAAGCAAGGGGTTTTTGGAGTGGAAATCTTCATTAGGTTAGTTAAATATGGGAGCATTGTGTTTTAGTTTGGATCACCAATGTTTTTGACCAATGCCTAGTAGTTTAATAGGTGAGAGGCAATATAAACGAAATATTCAGTATTTCGGGTAGTCAGGGAGATATTTACATCTTATTGAGATATATGGTCCTCAGGCCTTGAAGTTTGATGTATTCCCAGTGGCCTGTGAAATATTCTGTTGATCTTGGCCGAAACAAATTTCGAGAAGAGATCCAAATCCTTTTACACACACACATATATAAAATTTGGGATAATTTCAGAAACCCTCCTTGAGGTTTTTGACAATTTCACTCAATTCCCCTGAGCTTTCAATAATTACATAGACCTCCCTTTATCCAATCAAATGACTAAAATGTCCTCCACTTAATAGTTAATTCATAAGGGACATTTTAAGCCTAAAAATACTTCTTAGTATTCTACTTGCAATTTCCTAATCTCAAAGAACAATCTCCATCAATTTCTAATTTTCATCTCTTCCTCCCTCCCTCAATCCCTCTTTCATATTCTTCTCTCCTTTTCTCCTAAAACCGCTTCTCCCTCTCACCAAATACTGCAGTCCATTGTTACCAACCACACAACTATTAATTTTTTTATTATCTCTGAAATTTATCTGTATTTTTTTGTCTTCCTGTCTCTTTCTTACTATAAAAATTTTAGACCTTTTCCTTTTTTTTTCAATAGTTTTACTCTTAACAAATGTAAGCCAATTGAAGTTACCAAATTAACAAGGTGCAAACTGTGAAATTTATTGTTAAACTAGGGAAAGATGAAAAATGTGCCAATAATATAGGGAAAAATGAAATTGAGAGTTGAAAGATAAAGAAGTGACTATTATGTTTGTTAAGCAAAAAAATTTAGCAATTAGAAAACTCATTGGTTCTCTATTTTATTTGCCTATTGATTGTGGTTTTACTATGAAGATAGAATTTTGTCTATATTTTTAAGAGTGCTAGAGCAATGATGAATTATGTTCTTAAGGACATAGTGGCATTTTTTGGTTTAGTATTGGTAGTGGTGGTAGTGAGTTGCATTAAGCAAGAATTAGCAAGTAATGAATTTTGAGATGAGTTGGAGTCACTGGACTCGTTTGCTTTAGTAAGTATGCCACGTACAAGAAGTTAAAGATTAAAATCTTACTTTGTTTTATTTTGTTTTTTAGAAGAAGTGTATTTTAAATTATTTGTGAAAAATTATAGGCTATTGAGTTTATATTGTTACATAAATCTTAAAAGTGAGAGAGGTAGGCGTAATTTTTGAAACTTGAGGGGAGCTCTTTGTAATTGCAAAAAACCTCAAGATAGGTTTCTGAAATTATCCCACAAAATTTTGTGCGCTTAATGTCATTGCAAGATAAAAAAAAAATGCAATGGTAAATCATAATTAGGCAAACAGTCATTTTACATAAAATTATAGCACGAGTGATCGATCCTCGAAAAGGTCTTGCTCTAGGACGATATCCGACAGCTTGTTGCTGGCTTTGTT